AAAAAAAAAAAAAAAAAAAAAAAAAAAAAAAATCTTCTCAAGGAAAGAAGAGAATAGCTGATCTATATAATACAGAAATATAATATAGATATGCCAGCTACTGGGGAAAGTGTTTGGTTATGTTATCTGAGGTCCTGCCTGACAGCTGGTTAGCTGTGCTCCAAGAGCACGGTTCTCTGTGACATCACCCGTTTCTTTTCCTAGTGATGATTGCAAATAACTGTAGGAGAAATGCATCTAGCCACTTTTGGTACCATTTGAGGTGTTTGAAAGGGCTAACACTGCTGTTAGATGCATGGTAATCTTTCTCTTGTTTCACAGATGTATGTTTACATGTGTAGACAGTTTTCTGGCTTTGTCTCATTAGAAGCACCTAGATGTCTTTAAGACAGTTTAATTTTGGCGTATTTTTTTATCAAAAAATACAGGCTTTCTCACGTGTTGAAATTGAGACGAGTTCATTGTTGCAGACCTGTAAATATTTTGGTATTAAGTATCCATGCACATAGAGATTCCTTTAAAATTAATGTTTCTGTGTTGCCTTTTCAGGGTGAGTTGTTAAATCCTTGCCGCTGCGATGGGTCTGTACGGTACACGCATCAGCTTTGCCTCTTAAAGTGGATAAGTGAAAGAGGGTCATGGACCTGTGAACTCTGCTGTTACAGATACCATGTTATAGCAATTAAAATGAAAAGGCCTTGCCAGGTAATTTGTTTGGTTTTAGAAATATGTATTTCTGGTCATTTTTAAAAACAAAATGATTCTTACATTTCAAGATTTTTGGAAAATACAGCAGAAGAGCCTATGTGCTTCAGCAGTTAGCAATTGCACCCACTTGAAGTTAAGTTTCTAAGACTAGTTACATATTAAAATGTGCAGTCATCTGATTCTGTTACGTTCTTCTAGCTTTTGGCTTGCCATAGAAATGATCTTCAGAAGTTGTTAAATTCTGTAATTAGATGTCATACTGAGACATGACAGAACAAGTTGGATCTCCCTGATTCACTTTCTAAACGTTAAACCCGTCTTTATCGTTTCTTAAAGACTCAGTCAAAGGTGGTTTTCATTAATTCTTCAAGCTTTGGGTCCAAAAGAGAGTGGCAAAGAAAACTACTGTTGACTGTAAAAAAGTAAAAAGAGGTGACTTTTCAGTCTTGGCACAATCCAGACTAGCAGAACACTCTTTAAATTTTGTCCACCAATAGTTGTTTCAGAAGCAGAAATGTGCAGTAACATTTTTCACAGCTCCCTTTAACAACATCACAATATGCAGCTGGAATATTGTAGTGGTAGCATGTTCAGGGAGAGGGGAGGGGAAACTCAAAGCTTCAGCAGATCTGTTAGGGAAGCCTTAATACCACTCTGCATATCAGAATTCTTTAGAGGCTTAAAATTCCATCCTAGAAATTGTATTTCATAACATCTGAGGAATGCATTTGGTAAGATAATTGTATCTTTTTTTAGTCTTGATCCTATGAGCTCAGAGATGATGGAGCTCTTGAAGGCCAGAGCTCTCAGGTCATTTTCTGCACTTGAGCTTGATTGGAGTTTTATAGAAAAGACATGCTTGGATGGTAATGGCAGTTGTGTGAGCGTGATAAGCATTCCTTGGATGTAGGATATCTGTAGTATTTGCTTACAGTTGTTCAGATTCAGTGCAAGTACTTTCAGAGCCAGTTACGACTATAAGTTTTTTCTTTCTGTATCCATAAAGGAAACTTTGTTAAGTTTCCCTGGACAGAACCTTTATGATGTAAAGAAGTAGTATATTTGTAAACCACTTCAGAAAACGAAGGTGGTAGATTCTGTTTCTACATAGACTTTCTCTGGTGGTTTGGCATGGCATTCTGTTTGATCCTTTTGGCTTTTTTTAACCTTTCAAAAATCTTTATTTCCCATATATCCACATCAACTCATCCTTTTCTTAGCAGAGGTTATATTATCAACAGTTTGGAGTGATAGTCTCTGAAGATAGTTGTTTGACAGCAAAGACATAACATAGTTGCCTGCAAAGAGGAATCTAGTAATAGTTGATACGTCCCAAGGTAGCCAAAATATCTACATAGGATAGCAGATATGACACAACTTACTGAGACTCTGGAACTGCAGCTGCAGGCCAAGTAGGATATAAAGGACATTTGAAAAGTTGTCAGACACCTATCTGTGGACAACAGAATCAAGCCCCAGTTTGAAGAACAACTGTTCAGTATCTGTGGAAAACAGAAGCAAAGAAGAAAGTAAGCATCAGTAGGTGACACAACAGACAACAATGTTTGGCCAAGCTACAAGTGAAGTAGAAAGAAACTGAAGAGCCGAAAGTTAAATGACATTCTTTTCATGAGTTATGGCATTTTTCTGGTGGGAGATCACAACTAGATTCACGTTTCTCCTGGCGGCTTAAAAAATACTTGATTTATTCTTAACCCAATCTTTCATTTTTTATGTAAATTATTTAAGTCTGTCCTTTTTTATTCTCAACAAAATAGCATACAAAAAGATTTCATGGAGTTGCATACTCAAATAACAAGCATACATTGATAGGGCAAACTCCTGACCCCCAAAGATCACGCATCTCTTTGGAGGGATGCAGTAGTACCTTCTCATTCTTTTGCGCTGAACACTCCTCTGTAGTTACAGAATCTAAAAGGAAGTCTTAAAACTGCAGTCATCTGTGTATTTTTATAAGGGCAATCCGTCTTAAAATGCCCTCACTCCCATATTCTTGAGTCTAATAGTATTGGCCATTTTTAACAGCTGTCTTGGTTTAAGCTTTTGGACAGGTTCTGAATCATTTACTTGACCACACAAAAGCTTTTTTGAAGGTAACCTTTCGGTTGGGTTGGGTAAAAAGCTGAGGGCTAAACCGTTTCAATATAAAAGTAGTTTACAACATCTTCACTGAGGTAGCTAACATACTTAAAAGTTCCCAAGAAAGCAAGACTTCTTGCACTACGTTAGATACAATATTTGGACAGGAGTAGTTCACTCTCTCTACAACTAGTAGTCTGCCTCAGTCCATGTTCTCAGAGTTGTCTCTATCAGTCTTTTACGTATTAGATCTGTGCAGGCAGTGTCGTAAGAGAGAAGAAGGATGCTATTTACCAAAATGACTTTTTCTGAAGTGAATTGTCTATGCAGATTTGCACCAGCTCCTCAGGTTTACTTTTACCTCATGTATTTATGGAATGTGACAATGTGTAGGGAGATAAGAAGTAGATTTTTCTGTTTTCTTCCAGAACATTGGAATAGATGTAAATATTCCATTTAATATCTAACATTTTCTATGGTTTCTGTTGCTTCATGGCAGGGAAAGTAATCCCAAAGGGGGCCTCTTTGGAGGCAGTACATTCAAGGAACAAAATTTACTATGGTAAGTGACTATTCCAATAGAAATTTTTCCAGTGTCACTTTGTATATTTCAGCAACTACTTATTAATTCACCTTTAAGAACCCAGTCCTGGAAACACATAGACCTAATATAGGAATAGATCTTAAAACATAAAAAGTAACATATTAACCTGTGCACTAACAGTGGAAGATGAGCACACAAATTGATCACGTTTGGTATGGTGTTTCACAAAGAATTGCAAATTTGGATTTTTTTCAGCATCCTTCTCCAGATCATATCAGAAAGACATATTTAACCTTATACTAGTCCATTAATAAAAGCACACGTTCATGTTCCTGGACTTGCTCCTTACAGTGGGGTGGAATTTGACCCAATCATAGGCAAGAGTATGTTAATAACTAGGAAACCCTCAAACTGTAATGAGGGGAGATGGGACAAATATTGCTTTGGGCAGGGAGTTTTGGAAGGTTTATGAAATAACTTATAAAGGAGGAAGAAATTTTAAATGTCTGACTTGGAAATTAAATCTACTTAGAATTACATTTTAGATTAACAAAGAGAAAGAAAGCACAAACAGAAATATTTTTTATATTGCTTTGCTAAGCTTTATGATTTGTACATATTTCCTTTCTAAAGGAAACATAAACAGATTGCTTTGTTTTTTATTGGTGTTATTTAATTGTTAAGCTGTTAGCAAATTAGTCCACTAGACATGCAGTTAAGCATGAATGTATATTAAAGTATGTCAATTCTCTTGTGAGATTCAGAAATAATGTTTAAAAGTGGAATATAGTCATTCAAAGTTTGAGAAAATATACTTGGGTGCTAAACCCCATCATTTATAAAAAAGTGAGCAGTAAATATATTTAGAGACTAGCCTTTTCTAGACTGTTTCTGTAGTCTGTCATTAAAATAGCATTACATTAGCTGTTTGATATATCTTGTGCTTCTGTTCATTAAAACATTATATTCTGTTACTCTAGGTGAACTGGACCTATTCCAAAAGTGATGTAGTAGATCGGTGTGCTAATTTAAAAGATAATTGCATGGTAATTCAACACCCTTTCTGACATCAGGAAAAGCACAAAACAGTTATTTAAAAAAACCCAACAAGTATGTAGTTACTGGAAGTGGAATGTGGCTCATGAGTTCAGTGGTTTTCAGTGGCCCAAATTATGGTTATTAGCATTTGAGAAATTCAGCATAAAAATTACTATGTTCAAGAGTTTTTGTGAATTACAGATTCATTTTTTCAAGTCTTGTTAATGTGAGTAGTTCTCACTCATTTGAGTAATCTCACTGGCATCAGTTAGATAAGCATGAGCAAGACTCCATAGCAGACTGCATGTATGTATATGCATGTTGTATCAAGTGAAACAGTCAAGTTCTTCAAATACTTCAATATGGAGGCCAGTGTCCAGAAAAAATGTGTAGTAAATGTTTAGTAAAAGTTATTGCTAATGACTATGCTCAGCTGGATGAAAGCATTTACTTTTTGTAGGCATAACTAAGAAGGGGAAAGGGAGAAGGCTCAAATCTCCAGTTGTGCTTCTTAAACTACACTATGTACTAACAACAATCTACTAATGTTGCCTGTAATGAAATTCGAGGAAGATACACTGTGCTGTTCAGTATGCCAAAGCACACAAAGAACAAAAAGGATTGTCCCAATCTTGGACAATTTACCAAGAATTTTGAACAAGAGATAAGGGACTAGTCTATGGGGATATATAAAACCTGTAGTCTCTGTACACTAACCATTCTAACCATTTTAAACTATCATTGAGGTTTTGACAGTGGAAATGGGATGAGTTTTAGGATGCCCCTTGAAAAGAATATAATGAAGCTTTGCAGGCACCCTTTGAATGTGAAGGCAGTATGGAAGGACTGTTAGAAAATAAAATACTTGGCTGAGATAGGTATTGTGAAAAGGAAATGAGATTCAATGTGAGAGTAGTCATTAGAAGGTAATTAATATGTCAGTAAAAGCCTGGAAGGACTTAAAAAATCAAGTCAAGTCTTTTTTATTTGATGTGATGGGGAAGAGAGGAACCATCATAGTGGAGAAGGAAGGGCATGGTCAAAGTAGTGCACTAAAAAAAACTATTTGAAGCAGTCTTGTGGTTGCTGAGAAAATTACATTTGTCATGAGCTTAAAAGCTATGTTACAATAATTGAGACATAAGATGAAAGTGATGATGAGAAATTAATTTTTTATATATGAATAGTCTTAGATATGCTACATGGAAAGCACCTGTAAGTTTTAGAAATATTATGAACAGGAAGATCCAAATAGATATTTAAGTTTAAGATAATTCCTGGGTTACAGAACAGAATCATGGATTGGAGGAAAAAT